GTTTCTGCACACAGGACGCGGAAACGCTTGCCGCGCGGCAAAAGGCGACGCGGTAGCCAATCAACTTACAACTTTTCCATTAGAGCGAAAAATTGATTGGCTGCCGCGTCGCCTTTTACCGCGCGGCAAACGTGACCTGTGTGCAGAAGCCATCACTTAATAGTTTATTCTGACATGAGATGATAGGAGAATTTGCAGTAAAGACTACTTCATGTGAAAAAATTTTCGTAATCATAACCGTAAAGCGACGTCTACAATAGAGATTTTAAGCCCTAAAGGTGCCTTTACATGGCAGCGTCAAGCGTCGAGCGTTTGCGTAGAAACGAAGTGGTTTTGGCGGTAGGCAAGAAGTTTGCTCCTGTTTAAACGATTACTGTAATGCGGCAACGCCTGGAATTTTGCCGCCACAAGGCCTCATTCTTTCATGCGCTTTAATCAGTATGCTGCTAGCGTTTTTACGGAATTAATCGTTATTAAAAGACATCAAAATTCTCCTCCGTAGAGTTTATATATAAGACCATGATGAGCGAAAGCTGATAATTAGGGAACAGTAGAAAGATCTAATATATCAAGCGTGCTTTTGTTGACACGACTTCATGTCTGAACAGCAAATAGTTATTGAAAATAACGTATATCAAAGCGCGTATATCAAATAAAAGACCAGGAAAAAAATTTTACCCTATATAAATGGCAGAACATATAGCAACGCGAAGAATTTTTCATTTATCGAGAAGAAATAAAAAAAAAAAAATCTTCAGAGTTTATATACATATATACGGAGTATTTTTCGCGAGTTGTTCATGTAGTCTTAGCAAATTGTGTTATGTCTAACTATTAATGTACTGAAAATAAATTATGTACATCGATATATATTATATAATTATCTAGATCATAATATATAAATAGATGTTAAATATTCTATAAATCTATAAAATAGTAGAATTTATAGAAAGAGTGAAAATTATGTTATATTTATATATATCGTTTATCTTTAAAATCTGTTTACTTTCGTTAATGAGATATAACGTATAAATATAATAAGATATTAATTTTAAAACTCGTAAACACGAATAAACTGTTTAAACGAATTTTAATATATTGTAAATGACAATTGTTATAATTAACAAACAAAAAGTATATTGATTAAATAGAAATGAACTTTTAAAGATAAAATTTCCTTAAAGACATTTCATAGAATTGTATTGAAAGTCCCTCCATACATATTTTATTATAATTTTTCATTATATAATAACTCTATGCGCGAACGATTATAATACATACATATCTGTAAATGTATTTACACCAAAATTTAATATCTGACATGTCTCGATATTAAAAATTTTGTGCCTGTTATTATACAATAAAAAAAAAATATTCAATCCGTATGTCCGGAAAAAGTTTTTATTCTTCAATGTCTAATTACGAAACATGTTTATTATCAGTATAATAGTGTAAGATACTAGACAAAATGTTGTCATTTTAATTTTTGAACTTTAAAATTATATCATAAAAATATGTCCTTAATATCTTTGGAAAATATCTACAATTTATAAAGCACTTATCTCGTTCATAAATTTATAAGCAAATTATACGATTTGTTTGCATAAAAAGTAAAAAGTGTACTTTAAATTTGTTGTGCGCGCACGCGTACACACACGCACATACACACATATTATGAACAAGAGTATTTCATTATTTATTTCACATTTTTCGGTATATATATAAAAGAGTCCATATATAATTAAATATAAATATATATAATTATATTTGATTATACCTTTTTTTTGGTTATATATTCCTTTATGTCAGAAATATAATAAATATTGACAATGGTATGTATACATTAAACATTAGTATAGGATGTGTTACATCCTCTGGATGTCCTCTAAATGTCTTCTGGACATGTGTGTTGTTAGGATAGAGATTTAATCAGTATCTTCTATTTCGTATTCCGCTGTTTTGGATCAACTATATTTTTGAATAAACTTTATTATTTCTTAGCAGACTTGAGTGAACTGAAACTCTCTTTTTGCGCGTTGCTTTTACGAAACACTCAACATGTTTTGCACATGCGCCACTAAAAAAAAGCGGGAATTGCGAGTGACTTTGAATTATTCATTAGTAGAAAGAAGATCTTTAATTCAAAATTAGACCCGTCACATCTGCCAATTGTATTTTAAATTAGACAACGGGGTGATTTGATTGGCTGGAACTATGACCAGGCTGAACGCAGTTATTTAGAGAGATTGCGTTCTAGGGACTTCAACTAGTAATATATATTACTCTATAAAACAAATTTCTCTATTGGACATCGAATCTCGACGCAATCTTCCATAAAGGCCATTGAGCGTGAAAAAATTTTAGGCCGGTATTCATAGTCCGTTCTTATATTCAAGATCGTCTTAAGTACGATCTTAAGATGCTAAGCGGCCATTTCATCGGTTGAATGAGATCTTAAGACGACCCAAGACCACACTTAAGACGATCTTGGATATAAGAACGGACTATAAATCCCGGCCATAATCTTCAATCTTCAATTTTCAATGCGTAGTCTGATACGGGCGTTAGTGCCGGTCTACAATAGGTGATTTAAGCCTTAAGCCTTAAAAAATTGACCAATCCCAATTAAGTATGAGGAGAATACTCGACTGTGATTAGTCAATTTTTTAAGGCTTAGGGCTTAAAATCTTATTGTAGACGCCGCTTAAAGCCCGTATCAGACTACGCATTAAAAATTAAAGATTGAAATAAAAGATTGGAATTTGACTAATCAAAACAAAAGGAGCTAAAATTTCTTTATCCTGATTGATCAAATTTCAATTTTAAGTCTTCAATGTCAATTCTTAATGCGTAGTCTAAAGCCCGTATCAGACTACGCATTAAAAATTAAAGATTGAAATAAAAGATTGGAATTTGACTAATCAAAACAAAAGGAGCTAAAATTTCTTTATCCTGATTGATCAAATTTCAATTTTAAGTCTTCAATGTCAATTCTTAATGCGTAGTCTAAAGCCCGTATCAGACTACGCATTGAAGATTGTGATTGAAGATTGAAGATTGAAATTTGACCAATCAGAATAAAGAAATTTTAGTCCCTTCTGTTCTGATTAGTCAAATTCCAATCTTAAGTGCCGGTCTACAATAGTGATTTAAGCTCTAAGCCTTAAGAAATTGACTAATCACAGTCGAGTATTCTCCTCATACTTGATCGTGATTGGTCAATTTCTTAAGGCTTAGAGCTTAAATCACTATTGTAGACCGACACTTAATCTTCAATCTTCAATTTTCAATGCGTAGTCTGACGGGCTTTATACGGGCTTTACGTTATTAGAATGATTAATTGTGATTGGTCGATTTGTTTACGGTCTTACGGTACGAGTCGTAATTTACGACTAAAATTTTTTCACATGCGATGGTCTTTATGGCCTTACGATTACGGCTAACTTTTTCATGTGTAATTATATAAAACTCTTTCACGCAATGGCCTTAAAATTTTCTTTCCTTTTTTTATAATCTTTTTTTTATTTTGTTAAAGATTGTTTCTACTAGAGTTTCCACTCTATTAATTCTTATCGCAGCATGTTGTGTATGGCGTATGGCGAGAACTTTTGGCGTCTGGGTTGGAGACACGAATACAGCCGGACTTCTGTGCGCTGTGAACCCCGGTAGATTCGCTCCTATTGATTGCGCGGCAGTGTGTGTAGATTCTTCTGACTAAATCGTATTGCAAAGCGTTTTTTTCTTTCCTGTGTTCGCTTTGTCGCGTCGATAGCGATTTCAACGATCGGTGACGAGCTGTTAGAAAATCTGCGATAAGCAGGAACGAGTGAGTACCGTGGCGATAAAATCACTTTCGAACGTGCCATTGGCGCGTAAGCTGCTGTGTTTATCTTCATTTCTACTAATAATTTTGCCCCTCATTACTTCGCGCCGTTCTTCGAACCGATTTTAACAATACCAGAATCACCATACGGAGTGCCCCCCCACGCGAGAACACTATATTTATATGTTGTTTTATATATACGGAGATGAAAATACCACCATAGAGCGTTGTTGTGACCGTATATGATTTGTCATATATCTTTATCAAGATCGTGCAATTCACATTTGAGCTTATAGGATTACAAAACGCGTTTGTTTTACTTACCTGCCTTAACTGTGAATAAGTAATTTACAAGTATCTGTTCTCTCTGTGACTAAAATGTTAAGTATTTATTTCTATAAATGGAAAATTGCTTAAAATATATATTGTGTTGCGCATAAAAATAAGCACATAAAAAATCCATTTACATATATTATATCTTAAGATTTATCTGTTTAATACTAATAATTATAAAAATTATAGGTAACATAGGTTTTTTAATTGAAATAATTAATTAGCTGAATAATTTCAAAAATCAAATTTAAAAATTATTTTGCAATATTTTAAAAATAGATGTATTATTACATGAATAAAGTTGTTTTATTCTTTAGGGAAGAACGAGATGACACCAGAAGGATATACACGCGTTTACGTGGGTGGATTGAACGAGAGCATCAAAAAGGAAGATCTGCAAATGGAGTTTGAAAAGTATGGCAAGTTGAACAAGGTGTGGGTAGCCTTCAATCCACCAGGCTTTGCCTTTATCGAGTTCTTCAACATGAATGAGGCTGAATTAGCGTGCTGCAATATGAACGGCATGGAAATTATGGGTGCAAAATTAAGAGTGGAGATTTCACGGGGTAGAGGTCGCGGTGGGAGGGGTGGAGGTGCAGGTGGTTTCAGAGGAAATCGGGGAGTTGGCGGTAGGGAATTTGGTTCTCGAGGCGGTACAACTATGGGTTATAGAGGCAGTACCTATACAGATTATGGAGGCAGTTATTATGCAGGCAGGAGTGGCACAAATAGAGGCAGAGGCCGTTACGGAGAAGATTATATGTTCAATCGCAGCAGTGGGTATGTTACGCGAGACGGATATACACAAGACGTCTATGGTGGTAGTAGCGGGGACACTGGTGCCGACTACTACACCGGGAAGGATACAAGCACAGCGAGGTATCGAAGCCGCTCTCCGGCTGGCCGTGGCAGGTATTACGATACCCATATATCATCTAAACTGATTTTAATCTCACATGATTAACAATATTATTAGTTTGATTATAATGATGTTTGAGTACAATGTAGATTATAGTGTTCTTAAAAGGCTTCTTACAATGTATCATAATTATACACAGTACCACTTACACTCGTGGATAAATACGATCTGACGAGATGTATTTGTATTTTTACATTCAAAATATTCGTATCATTTATAAGATCTTCAGAAAAGAAAATGTTTTGAAGAGATGAAATCTTTATGAGGAGAGGTTTAAGAATATTAATAATTATAAATAAACAGAAAAATACACAATCTGTTTACATGGAAATGTATCACAAGCAACAGACGACAACAATTTAATTAAATATCTGAATACTTATTTAGCTCAAGAAGAAAGGCTGAATGAATTAATTTACAGTAAACAATCGAAATGCAATTCCACATATTATATAGAATATTGCAAATATTGCTTCAAGCCTATTATGAAACATATCAAAGAATTAAATAAATTACAGAGAAATTCTACGAATTATAAAAAAAAACACTTTTAAGTGCATGAATGCTCATTGCTATTCTTAAATAAATTTCATTAATTGCATGCACAAAAATATAAAGCTACTATTGGCTCTCATCTTAATGAGAGTTAAGAGGGAGCGAAAGTAATGTGACATCCTATTTTGCATTTCCATGTTCACAGTCATCGTCATCTACGTGAATGCACATAAAAGAACTACGCTGCATCTTGCCAATCTGAACTGCGGGCCGATCAGCCACCCGCCTCGACGACTTCATTTCTGTCCAATCTACACACAGCGATCTGTACATAGACAAGAACTACCATTGCAGTTTGCGCTGTGCAATATTTTCCCTGCATTGTACCATTTCTATACAACTTGTGGTCGCTGCTGGGATAGACTTTCTATGATTAACAGATCCGAGAGTTTCCTTAAAGAAAAGCGCTCTTACACGAAGTGAGAAATGCGATGAGATATAGATTGCAGAATTAATTCGAATGATTAATATTTGAAGAAGTAATTAATATAGGGTTGTAATCTATAGGGACTATAACACTATCTACAATCACCGTTTTATGTTTAGCTGACGCCTTATTGGGTTGCTTTAGATCTCTTTATATATTTTCGACGTTCAGAATCTTTGTGGTTTTTGATTTACGATTATACAGATTTTTCGAGATTTGTTTATGTATATATAGTACGTACATGTATTATATATATATATATATATATATATATAATAGTTCTAATTACATTAAAAAATTATCTCTTAAAGTATTTTTGCTGATTTATTTGGGTTAGCTTTCATTGTTTTCAACTATTTGAAAGTCTACGATAGACTTTCAAATAGTTGAAAAGACTACAATATGGCGGTCCATAATCTTGTGAATATCATTCTCGTGTATTTAGATAAAAACGTGTTCTCGCTTATATTCTATGAATAGTAATGATTTTATATGGGAATTGGAAAGAAGAAATCGTAAATCGCGCGCACTACTAGCCAAATGCAAATTGCTGCTCGCATATAACAATTAATTTATTGTGTAAGGATATGAAAAACAAGGCAGTTTTGCTTAAAAAATTTCGATGCACAAATGATGAGATCAAAATCTTGCAAAGCGAAAGCAATCGCGTCTACTATACAATATATCTTCTATACTTCATTTTTATGATATATGTGCAGTACTGTATTTGGAAAGAGACCTTGGAGCATTCGCTTTTATCATTACAGAGATGCTCGTGAATAAGAAAGTGATAAAATAATGGTAATAATATATATTACCTCTACTCTCTGTAAATGATATGGAATTGGAAATTAAGATATTAAATGATTTGCGCTCAGTACTGCCTGCCACCCTGCCTGCCTGTCTGCCTACCTTTTTTCTCTCAATTTACTATGACTGGTAACATAATCCGACGTCATTTTTGTTTGTTCACTTTAAGCAAGTTATTTTTATCAAATATGGTTGCTTATTTTTAATGGTTTGTATGTAGGTATTTTAAATTCATACACAGGTATTTCAAATTCACATAATATCAAGATTTACAGATAAATTTCAGTATTATTAATATTATGTTAAATATTATTACATGTTATTCTTTTATTTTTTAAGTAATTTTTTTTTTTTTTTTTTTTTTTTAATCTTAACTATGAAAAACTTATATACACACACACACACACACATATAAGCCTATGTGTGCATGCGTGCGCGTGTAATATTAAAATCTAAATAGTTATATATGCAACACTCATACATATACAGAGTGTTTTAAAACAACACCAATAACATTTAAGATTTAATAAAAAGTAACAAATGAAGCAGTAACCCATATCCGGAAATGTCGCGTTTCTCATTTACGAACGATACACACACACACACACACACACATATATATATATATATATATATATATGCCCTTGGAAAACGAATTGTCAAAAGAAAGTTTGTACGTACGTAACTATTGTTCGTATACAGTGGACAATTTTCAGTTAAAATATACTGAAGATAAAAGGGCTTAATACTTGCACCAAATTCCTAATGAAGAGGAAATCACTCGAAATTTAAGTTTGTTATTTTAATCCTTATATACGATATAGATTTATCATATAGATTTCGATGCAAGCAAATTTACTGTAAATTATTAACAAACGAACATATATTTATGTAAGTGTTTCAACAAGAGAATTTAGCATTATGGCAAACATTAATTACAGAATCCTTCAAATTTGACATTTAAAGACTTCGAATTCTTACACAATTTCTATAAATAGGAAATTAATGTTGATTAGACTATATTCAAATTAGATTTGGATATTTGTGTCCTAACACACACATCTTAATTGTCAATATCAAGTATATCTCAATATACATTTAATTCTTAATATATTCTTTTGCTAAAATTTATTTAAAATTAAACAAAAAGATAAAATAATTACTGATTATATTAATTTAAGTTTAATCTGCTTTCTATTATGCTTTAATTTTAATTGTGAATTTATATATATATATACAGAATGTCCGTCCATAAATGTCCAAATATCTCACAATTAATTGAAGTTACAGAAAGAAAGCTTAATAAGAGAAATTAGCACAGTTTTTAGTTTGCAATAAAGCGCATATAAAACAATTTTTTTTATTTGTTACCTTTTCAAGTTATGCAGGTCACTACCGTTCTTTTTAAATGGAACCCCCTATTTTTTATTGCATATTCTTATAGCTCTTCTTGAGACTTCTTCAAAATACTATAATAAAGTATTTTTTTATTAAATATTTTTCGAGTTATTTTACATCTTTATCCGACATATTTTGATATAACAAATAAAACATCTCGTAAAATATTTAGTTTTCGATAATCTTACCGTAATACTTTTATGTACAGAATAATGAGAAAAATCAATCAGTATAAAAAAAATAATTGTTTTTAAGAAAAAGTATGTAATTGTTTACAATATATTTTTTTAACAATTATTATTTTTTTTATACTAATTGATTTGTCTCATTATTCTATACATAAAAGTATTACGGTAAGATTATCGAAAACTAAATATTTTACGAGATATTTTATTTTTTATATCAAAATATGTCAAATTAAAATGTAAAATAACTCGAAAAACACTTAATAAAAAAAAATACTTTATTATAGTGTTTTGAAAAGGTCACAAGAAGAGCTATAAAAATATGCAATAAAAATAGAGGTTTCAATTTAAAAAAACGATGGTGATCTTCATAACTTGAAAAGGTTACGACTAAAAAAAAATTGTTTTACATGCGCTTTATTGCGGACTAAAAACTGTGTTAATTTTCTCTTATTAAATATTTTTATAACTTCAATCAGTTGTGAGATATTTGCTCGGACATTTATGGGCAGACACCCTGTATATATGTATATATTAGTACTTTAAAATATATTTGTACAATCAGTATTCCATTTATAGTATCAAATTGATTAGATTATATACATTTTCCTCTTAATTTTTCATACGTGTGTTTCACAAAAGTATTACGGTATAGGTGTGTATATAAAAGTATTACGGTAAGATAATCGAAAACTAAATATTTTACGATATTTTATATTAAAATGTCTGAATAAGATAACCCGAAAAATACTTTATTATAGTGTTTTAAAAAGGTCTCAAGAAGAACTATAAGAAGAATATGCAATAAAAAATAAGGGTTCCCATTAAAAAAAAATTAAGTTGACCTTGAAATGACCTAAGTTTTGATTTAAGATAAAATGAAGATCACCATCAGATGACCTCCTTCAAACCAAACAACTTTTTCTTAAAAAAGTTCTTGGGGGGGCAGAGAAATTAAAATGAGACACCCTGTATATTAAATTTGATGTGGAATGGATACAAACATAACTATTTTTTTGTTATATTTTTTATACATTTTACATTTTTATATATATTTGACATTTTTTTATCTTATAGAGACTAAAAGATTAGATCTTCGGTCAGTGTTCTGAAATAATGCTCGGATCAGTTGTTTAACTTGTGCAGCAGTGAACTCTTGCGCTAATAATCCTTTTCCATTTCCCCATCTAACTTCGATTTCTTTCAGTGATGCACCAAGTATCTTAATCAATTCCAAAAATTTTCCCCACTTATGTACATGCTGTTGTATCTGTTGATCCTATCAAATAGGAATTAGTATGCGTCTGCTTTATTAAACTAAATTAATATTCTTATTTAACTTTTAATGTTTAACTTTTACAGGGACCAGTTGGAATACTGCTACCTTGAACAAATCTTTATCATCTTAAATGTACTTTTATGACATTAAATGGCAATAAAGATTTATATTGACAAATCTTTTTCTTGTAAATTTTTTTTGTATTTTCGTATTATATCTTGTTATGTTATGTTCATTATATACTTACAGGAAATATCGGTGGTGTTCGTTTTACCACCATATTGAATAAAGTTACTAGTTCTGTTGCTACATTAGCTGGAATATCTTCAACAGTTATAACTTTTGACACCAAATCGTCAATCATAGAATTAGTTATACATCCTGTGAGATATTAATATGAAGAATTAAAAACGTATATTAAAATATAATAATAAAATGCATTAAATAGACTAACCAACAGCTTTGCAATAGATGTTTACAGGTAACACTTCTAGCCAAACTGTCTTCAATAATTCCAGTTGTCTGATGCATTGTCTTAAAGCACGCTCGGTGCTAGGATGTAACTCAGATGTTTGCCCCAATCCCGAAAAACCTATACATAAATATAAAATATTATTGTTACATTTATTTCAATTTTTTCATATAGCTAATAAGTTAATTATAAACCTGAATCTTTGATGATGTCAAAAATTATATTTTTTTGATACTTCATGTGTTCTAAAAAATATTGCGAACCGACTTCTCGGAATATCGCGACTTGATCCGAGAATGTTAAATTCATTTTTTGTAGATTTTTCGAGAATTTGTCTTTATATTCATGCGCCAATGTAAGTAGATGGTGGGCAAGATACATACAATTATTATGAAACAGAGCTAAACATAATTGTATATTAATTTTATATTCGTGAGAATAGTTCATTCTGTTATATATATTTCTTACCAACTTGCTGCGGTATCGTTTCTAAAAATTTTTTATGATGTTCAGGTACCAAACCGACATACATTTCAAATATATTTCTACATGTATAAAATAATCTACTGGCACAAGCATCTGAACTATTGCAAGCCTCATCTAATATTGTCCTCGTTAATTCCAGTATTTCTTGTGCGCTTTTGCTAAAATGCATTTAATACTCATATCTCATTTTTTTGTACAAGATTATTTGTACAAGATGTGTATTTGGAAAATTATATATGGAAAAAAGGTTATCAAGATTTGTAGAGAATTTATGAATTCATATATATTAAATATTCGGTTTTCCACTAACGATATATGTAATTCCGAGAAGCAAGAAAATATGAATTTTTTTTCTTACTTAAAAAAAATATGTTAAAAATAAATTTTTTGCATATATCCCTCTCCGCCATTGTTTGATATTATAAGTTGTTAAAATATAATAAAATATACTTCCAAAATAATATTTGCGCAATATACATGAAATATAAAAATATTTTTATTACCTTACATTATTAAATGTCCATATAACTCAATCTACACATGTATTTTATATTTTTAGTAAAAATGGATCTCTTATGAAAATTGATCAAGATTTACAGAGGTATTTATTAATTCACAAACCAAAAAAAAAAGAGAGCTCCTAGTATATTTTATCAATGTACATTAGTAAATGCAAATTGTAACATGCAAATTGTAACATGCAAATAAACTAATTTATTTCAATATATAATATTAAAAAAATCAATAATATCATAATTTTTTGCTTTTGATGCTAATTCAATATGATTGCAATATTAGAGTAGGAAGTTTTAAATTAATTACTGTTTGTAATGTACCTGATTTGACACTTCGGTAAATGAAATGACATATTTTGTAACGTTTTTTCATTCAATAACTCAGAATTATTTTCGAATATTTTATTCATAAGTATAGGTGGTTCCTACAAGAAAAAGAAGACAAATAAAAATCAGAAAAATCAGATTTGCTATTCTCTTAATAAAATAGGTACCTGTAGCTCACATCGAACAGAATCATGTAAGTCTTTCTTCATTATATTTCTAGCTTTGACTAATAAATCCTGACACATTCTATCAACGAAAAGTTTGTCAATATTGTTTGTGTATTCTGATAAAAAGAGCTCATCCTTAGAAAGAAATTCTGAAATTTTACATTGTTAAATTACTTGGTATCATAAAGCGAACTATTTCATCTTGAAAATAGGCACAAATACCGATTTGTACTAAATAATCTTGAAATTCATTAATCGCTTCGATGACAGGCTCGAAATTCTTTAGATTCGCATTAGAAGTTGGAATGGTGTACGAGATACAATCTGTTGTTAAAGAATGTGATAATTGCTTTAGCAGTTGCGGTTGCATTCTTTTCAAAAAAGTTTCGTTATCCGTAACTGCCAGATTCAGGTGTTGATGAAGAAATTTAAAGAGTAGTTTTAAATTGTACAGTACGCCTTTGAAACATGGCATTTTGTTTTTCTCTAATATTTCGATGGTAAATATTCTTTCCTTGATAACATACACTGAACAATGATCATGAATGATGGGATTAATTATATGGTTCATCAAGTTTGTTAAAAATGTTTGTAAGAAGTTTTCAAGATTATTGATGATATGCAATCCTTGTATTAATTCCTGTATGTTGTCATAGTCATTTTTGATAATAATAGAGGTAATTGTTTTGCTGTCTTTCACATCATTATTCCAACAAATGCAATCATATAACAGTCTGGACACTTCTATCGAGTACAAGCGAAAGAGATTGCAATATTCAGCTTTGATCGCCACATATATTTCCAGATCTTGTAGAAAACTATGAGGATTATCCAATAAAATTTGCATTTGCTGCAGAGTCTTTGCAGTATCAATGTATCGTTTTTCTTCTTGCATTCCTTTTATAGATTTTATATATTCATGTAAGTTCATCAACTCATGAGATAATTTCAAACTAATGTTTGACTCTTTTAATTCTTGAGAGAGAGTTTTCAATTCTTTCGTCAAACCAGGTAACTCTATTTTGACCTATATAATAAAAGCGAATAAAATTTTATTTTATTAACCCTGTTTAAATAACATAATAGATGCTGATGATATACTTGATCATTTATCCTGCTCTGCAAAGTGTCCATCTCTTTCAGTAGCTGTTCAGTCTTTTTAACTAAGTGCACATCTCTTGTTAACTTTGCACTGAATTCAACATAATTGTCATCCATAAAGTCTTTAACTTCATATTCTAATTTTGTTATTTGTTTCTGTATTTCAGCAATATTTTTTTGGAGATTTACTATTTCAAGTTTCCCTGCGTAGTAAAATATCACAATCACCATAATTATATCTTTATTATAAATATTATAATCAAATGTTGTTTGAGTATATATAATTTCTCTAAAGAAAAATATAAAAAATAAAAATAAACTATAGATTTATTAAAGAATATATAATTACTAAAGACTTGATTATTTACAATTTTGGAGGAACAATTATCATAAATCCAGAGAGAAAGTACTAAGATTTCATAACGTATTATGTTATTTTAAATGTTATATTGAATAATAAGTTATTTATTTCTTTTATCTTTATTAGATTAGCAAGTATAATTTTGATTAAAATTTAATTTTTGTAAAACTTTTAGAAATTGTTATATTATATACGTAATATTTTTCTAATAAAAACAAAGAATAAGGCACTAGTGATTTTTTTACAAGATTGGTTACAGAGTCTGTTGTTTATATGTACAATTTCAATAGCCCTCAGATTTCGAAAAAAAATTTCGTACATGTAGATTAATTCATCTCATGTTTTATTAATATATACTTTATTTCTAAATTTTCTGTTGTACTTATCTATTTTTAATACCAAATAATAAGAAAATTTTTTGTTCAATAATTATTTACTTTAAAAAACATTTTGTCGATAAACTTAATCTCGGTTTATGCATTGCACAAATTGCTTGCCTCCTTAAATTGGTAAGTCTCTATCACACATTAAAAATACATATTTGCAAAGATTACCATACAGACCCGCTCTACACAGAATTTTAATTTATTGTTTACTTTTTTGTCTCCTTAAATTAATAAATCTAACATACATTTAAAATGCGAAATATTTTGCAAAAATTAATAAAGATGAGGCTTTTTTTAAAGACTTTGATTTGTTGCATAAATCTTTTGTTTTCCATCAGAATAAATTCTATAATTTTACAAAATTTTCAATTTATCTCCTAAACTAATTAAAAAAATAAACAAATAAAACTTATATTTTATATTCATGTAACATTTAAAAAAACCAATGTTCAAATCTTGATACTTCGAAGTTATAATTTCCCAATTTGGCAATTTGTTTAAATACACACACACACATATATGTATAGTGTTACGTTTAGTTGTGGTAGTAATTAGTAAGTAGTGTGTCATCCAACCATAGACATAGTATATCTAGACCGAGTGATGGACACACACACACACACACACACACACACACACACACACACACACACACACACACACACACACACACACACACACACACCGTTATATGTAAACATTACCTGCTGTAGTTAGTACATCTGCTACGAACGATGTCATATTCGAAATATATATGAAAAATTTGGTACATATGTCAAATATCAAACACTTTTTATATGATCGCAATCTGACTCACACTTCGTGTATACTTAAAAATGCGGGGTCCATGCATGAAGGAAGAGTAAGGAGAGTTATCTACCTAGATTGAAAGTGGTCACGAAAAATGTTCCGTATGTGGCCAGGTTTGCCGAATGGAATAACTTGGACCATTTCGTCGCCATCTTGAATCTTCGTATATGTATAGTGTTACGTTTAGTTGTGGTAGTAATTAGTAAGTAGTGTGTCATCCAACACACTTACTGATCACTAATACAACTAAACATAACACTATATATGTACGAATATTCAAGATGGCGACGAATTGGTCCAAGTCATTCCATTTGGCAAACCTGACCACATACGGAACATTTTTCGTGACCACTTTCAATCTAGGTAGATAACTCTCCTTACTCTTCCTTCATGCATGGACCCCGCATTTTTAAGTATACACGAAGTGTGAGTCAGATTGCGATCATATAAAAAGTGTTTGATATTTGACATATGTACCAAATTTTTCATATATATTTCGAATATGACATCGTTCGTAGCAGATGTACTAACTACAGCAGGTAATGTTTACATATAACGGTGTGTGTGTGTGTGTGTGTGTGTGTGTGTGTGTGTGTGTGTGTGTGTGTGTGTGTGTGTGTGTGTGTGTGTGTGTGTGTGTGTGTGTGTGTGTGTGTGTGTGTGTGTGTGTGTGTGTGTGTGTGTGTGTGTGTGTGTGTGTGTGTGTGTGTGTGTGTGTGTGTGTGTGTGTGTGTGTGTGTGTGTGTGTGTGTGTGTGTGTGTGTGTGTGTGTGTGTGTGTGTGTGTGTGTGTGTGTGTGTGTGTGTGTGTGTGTGTGTGTGTGTGTGTGTGTGTGTGTGTGTGTGTGTGTGTGTGTGTGTGTGTGTGTGTGTGTGTGTGTGTGTGTGTGTGTGTGTGTGTGTGTGTGTGTGTGTGTGTGTGTGTGTGTGTGTGTGTGTGTGTGTGTGTGTGTGTGTGTGTGTGTGTGTGTGTGTGTGTGTGTGTGTGTGTGTGTGTGTGTGTGTGTGTGTGTGTGTGTGTGTGTGTGTGTGTGTGTGTGTGTGTGTGTGTGTGTGTGTGTGTGTGTGTGTGTGTGTGTGTGTGTGTGTGTGTGTGTGTGTGTGTGTGTGTGTGTGTGTGTGTGTGTGTGTGTGTGTGTGTGTGTGTGTGTGTGTGTGTGTGTGTGTGTGTGTGTGTGTGTGTGTGTGTGTGTGTGTGTGTGTGTGTGTGTGTGTGTGTGTGTGTGTGTGTGTGTGTGTGTGTGTGTGTGTGTGTGTGTGTGTGTGTGTGTGTGTGTGTGTGTGTGTGTGTGTGTGTGTGTGTGTGTGTGTGTGTGTGTGTGTGTGTGTGTGTGTGTGTGTGTGTGTGTGTGTGTGTGTGTGTGTGTGTGTGTGTGTGTGTGTGTGTGTGTGTGTGTGTGTGTGTGTGTGTGTGTGTGTGTGTGTGTGTGTGTGTGTGTGTGTGTGTGTGTGTGTGTGTGTGTGTGTGTGTGTGTGTGTGTGTGTGTGTGTGTGTGTGTGTGTGTGTGTGTGTGTGTGTGTGTGTGTGTGTGTGTGTGTGTGTGTGTGTGTGTGTGTGTGTGTGTGTGTGTGTGTGTGTGTGTGTGTGTGTGTGTGTGTGTGTGTGTGTGTGTGTGTGTGTGTGTGTGTGTGTGTGTGTGTGTGTGTGTGTGTGTGTGTGTGTGTGTGTGTGTGTGTGTGTGTGTGTGTGTGTGTGTGTGTGTGTGTGTGTGTGTGTGTGTGTGTGTGTGTGTGTGTGTGTGTGTGTGTGTGTGTGTGTGTGTGTGTGTGTGTGTGTGTGTGTGTGTGTGTGTGTGTGTGTGTGTGTGTGTGTGTGTGTGTGTGTGTGTGTGTGTGTGTGTGTGTGTGTGTGTGTGTGTGTGTGTGTGTGTGTGTGTGTGTGTGTGTGTGTGTGTGTGTGTGTGTGTGTGTGTGTGTGTGTGTGTGTGTGTGTGTGTGTGTGTGTGTGTGTGTGTGTGTGTGTGTGTGTGTGTGTGTGTGTGTGTGTGTGTGTGTGTGTGTGTGTGTGTGTGTGTGTGTGTGTGTGTGTGTGTGTGTGTGTGTGTGTGTGTGTGTGTGTGTGTGTGTGTGTGTGTGTGTGTGTGTGTGTGTGTGTGTGTGTGTGTGTGTGTGTGTGTGTGTGTGTGTGTGTGTGTGTGTGTGTGTGTGTGTGTGTGTGTGTGTGTGTGTGTGTGTGTGTGTGTGTGTGTGTGTGTGTGTGTGTGTGTGTGTGTGTGTGTGTGTGTGTGTGTGTGTGTGTGTGTGTGTGTGTGTGTGTGTGTGTGTGTGTGTGTGTGTGTGTGTGTGTGTGTGTGTGTGTGTGTGTGTGTGTGTGTGTGTGTGTGTGTGTGTGTGTGTGTGTGTGTGTGTGTGTGTGTGTGTGTGTGTGTGTGTGTGTGTGTGTGTGTGTGTGTGTGTGTGTGTGTGTGTGTGTGTGTGTGTGTGTGTGTGTGTGTGTGTGTGTGTGTGTGTGTGTGTGTGTGTGTGTGTGTGTGTGTGTGTGTGTGTGTGTGTGTGTGTGTGTGTGTGTGTGTGTGTGTGTGTGTGTGTGTGTGTGTGTGTGTGTGTGTGTGTGTGTGTGTGTGTGTGTGTGTGTGTGTGTGTGTGTGTGTGTGTGTGTGTGTGTGTGTGTGTGTGTGTGTGTGTGTGTGTGTGTGTGTGTGTGTGTGTGTGTGTGTGTGTGTGTGTGTGTGTGTGTGTGTGTGTGTGTGTGTGTGTGTGTGTGTGTGTGTGTGTGTGTGTGTGTGTGTGTGTGTGTGTGTGTGTGTGTGTGTGTGTGTGTGTGTGTGTGTGTGTGTGTGTGTGTGTGTGTGTGTGTGTGTGTGTGTGTGTGTGTGTGTGTGTGTGTGTGTGTGTGTGTGTGTGTGTGTGTGTGTGTGTGTGTGTGTGTGTGTGTGTGTGTGTGTGTGTGTGTGTGTGTGTGTGTGTGTGTGTGTGTGTGTGTGTGTGTGTGTGTGTGTGTGTGTGTGTGTGTGTGTGTGTGTGTGTGTGTGTGTGTGTGTGTGTGTGTGTGTGTGTGTGTGTGTGTGTGTGTGTGTGTGTGTGTGTGTGTGTGTGTGTGTGTGTGTGTGTGTGTGTGTGTGTGTGTGTGTGTGTGTGTGTGTGTGTGTGTGTGTGTGTGTGTGTGTGTGTGTGTGTGTGTGTGTGTGTGTGTGTGTGTGTGTGTGTGTGTGTGTGTGTGTGTGTGTGTGTGTGTGTGTGTGTGTGTGTGTGTGTGTGTGTGTGTGTGTGTGTGTGTGTGTGTGTGTGTGTGTGTGTGTGTGTGTGTGTGTGTGTGTGTGTGTGTGTGTGTGTGTGTGTGTGTGTGTGTGTGTGTGTGTGTGTGTGTGTGTGTGTGTGTGTGTGTGTGTGTGTGTGTGTGTGTGTGTGTGTGTGTGTGTGTGTGTGTGTGTGTGTGTGTGTGTGTGTGTGTGTGTGTGTGTGTGTGTGTGTGTGTGTGTGTGTGTGTGTGTGTGTGTGTGTGTGTGTGTGTGTGTGTGTGTGTGTGTGTGTGTGTGTGTGTGTGTGTGTGTGTGTGTGTGTGTGTGTGTGTGTGTGTGTGTGTGTGTGTGTGTGTGTGTGTGTGTGTGTGTGTGTGTGTGTGTGTGTGTGTGTGTGTGTGTGTGTGTGTGTGTGTGTGTGTGTGTGTGTGTGTGTGTGTGTGTGTGTGTGTGTGTGTGTGTGTGTGTGTGTGTGTGTGTGTGTGTGTGTGTGTGTGTGTGTGTGTGTGTGTGTGTGTGTGTGTGTGTGTGTGTGTGTGTGTGTGTGTGTGTGTGTGTGTGTGTGTGTGTGTGTGTGTGTGTGTGTGTGTGTGTGTGTGTGTGTGTGTGTGTGTGTGTGTGTGTGTGTGTGTGTGTGTGTGTGTGTGTGTGTGTGTGTGTGTGTGTGTGTGTGTGTGTGTGTGTGTGTGTGTGTGTGTGTGTGTGTGTGTGTGTGTGTGTGTGTGTGTGTGTGTGTGTGTGTGTGTGTGTGTGTGTGTGTGTGTGTGTGTGTGTGTGTGTGTGTGTGTGTGTGTGTGTGTGTGTGTGTGTGTGTGTGTGTGTGTGTGTGTGTGTGTGTGTGTGTGTGTGTGTGTGTGTGTGTGTGTGTGTGTGTGTGTGTGTGTGTGTGTGTGTGTGTGTGTGTGTGTGTGTGTGTGTGTGTGTGTGTGTGTGTGTGTGTGTGTGTGTGTGTGTGTGTGTGTGTGTGTGTGTGTGTGTGTGTGTGTGTGTGTGTGTGTGTGTGTGTGTGTGTGTGTGTGTGTGTGTGTGTGTGTGTGTGTGTGTGTGTGTGTGTGTGTGTGTGTGTGTGTGTGTGTGTGTGTGTGTGTGTGTGTGTGTGTGTGTGTGTGTGTGTGTGTGTGTGTGTGTGTGTGTGTGTGTGTGTGTGTGTGTGTGTGTGTGTGTGTGTGTGTGTGTGTGTGTGTGTGTGTGTGTGTGTGTGTGTGTGTGTGTGTGTGTGTGTGTGTGTGTGTGTGTGTGTGTGTGTGTGTGTGTGTGTGTGTGTGTGTGTGTGTGTGTGTGTGTGTGTGTGTGTGTGTGTGTGTGTGTGTGTGTGTGTGTGTGTGTGTGTGTGTGTGTGTGTGTGTGTGTGTGTGTGTGTGTGTGTGTGTGTGTGTGTGTGTGTGTGTGTGTGTGTGTGTGTGTGTGTGTGTGTGTGTGTGTGTGTGTGTGTGTGTGTGTGTGTGTGTGTGTGTGTGTGTGTGTGTGTGTGTGTGTGTGTGTGTGTGTGTGTGTGTGTGTGTGTGTGTGTGTGTGTGTGTGTGTGTGTGTGTGTGTGTGTGTGTGTGTGTGTGTGTGTGTGTGTGTGTGTGTGTGTGTGTGTGTGTGTGTGTGTGTGTGTGTGTGTGTGTGTGTGTGTGTGTGTGTGTGTGTGTGTGTGTGTGTGTGTGTGTGTGTGTGTGTGTGTGTGTGTGTGTGTGTGTGTGTGTGTGTGTGTGTGTGTGTGTGTGTGTGTGTGTGTGTGTGTGTGTGTGTGTGTGTGTGTGTGTGTGTGTGTGTGTGTGTGTGTGTGTGTGTGTGTGTGTGTGTGTGTGTGTGTGTGTGTGTGTGTGTGTGTGTGTGTGTGTGTGTGTGTGTGTGTGTGTGTGTGTGTGTGTGTGTGTGTGTGTGTGTGTGTGTGTGTGTGTGTGTGTGTGTGTGTGTGTGTGTGTGTGTGTGTGTGTGTGTGTGTGTGTGTGTGTGTGTGTGTGTGTGTGTGTGTGTGTGTGTGTGTGTGTGTGTGTGTGTGTGTGTGTGTGTGTGTGTGTGTGTGTGTGTGTGTGTGTGTGTGTGTGTGTGTGTGTGTGTGTGTGTGTGTGTGTGTGTGTGTGTGTGTGTGTGTGTGTGTGTGTGTGTGTGTGTGTGTGTGTGTGTGTGTGTGTGTGTGTGTGTGTGTGTGTGTGTGTGTGTGTGTGTGTGTGTGTGTGTGTGTGTGTGTGTGTGTGTGTGTGTGTGTGTGTGTGTGTGTGTGTGTGTGTGTGTGTGTGTGTGTGTGTGTGTGTGTGTGTGTGTGTGTGTGTGTGTGTGTGTGTGTGTGTGTGTGTGTGTGTGTGTGTGTGTGTGTGTGTGTGTGTGTGTGTGTGTGTGTGTGTGTGTGTGTGTGTGTGTGTGTGTGTGTGTGTGTGTGTGTGTGTGTGTGTGTGTGTGTGTGTGTGTGTGTGTGTGTGTGTGTGTGTGTGTGTGTGTGTGTGTGTGTGTGTGTGTGTGTGTGTGTGTGTGTGTGTGTGTGTGTGTGTGTGTGTGTGTGTGTGTGTGTGTGTGTGTGTGTGTGTGTGTGTGTGTGTGTGTGTGTGTGTGTGTGTGTGTGTGTGTGTGTGTGTGTGTGTGTGTGTGTGTGTGTGTGTGTGTGTGTGTGTGTGTGTGTGTGTGTGTGTGTGTGTGTGTGTGTGTGTGTGTGTGTGTGTGTGTGTGTGTGTGTGTGTGTGTGTGTGTGTGTGTGTGTGTGTGTGTGTGTGTGTGTGTGTGTGTGTGTGTGTGTGTGTGTGTGTGTGTGTGTGTGTGTGTGTGTGTGTGTGTGTGTGTGTGTGTGTGTGTGTGTGTGTGTGTGTGTGTGTGTGTGTGTGTGTGTGTGTGTGTGTGTGTGTGTGTGTGTGTGTGTGTGTGTGTGTGTGTGTGTGTGTGTGTGTGTGTGTGTGTGTGTGTGTGTGTGTGTGTGTGTGTGTGTGTGTGTGTGTGTGTGTGTGTGTGTGTGTGTGTGTGTGTGTGTGTGTGTGTGTGTGTGTGTGTGTGTGTGTGTGTGTGTGTGTGTGTGTGTGTGTGTGTGTGTGTGTGTGTGTGTGTGTGTGTGTGTGTGTGTGTGTGTGTGTGTGTGTGTGTGTGTGTGTGTGTGTGTGTGTGTGTGTGTGTGTGTGTGTGTGTGTGTGTGTGTGTGTGTGTGTGTGTGTGTGTGTGTGTGTGTGTGTGTGTGTGTGTGTGTGTGTGTGTGTGTGTGTGTGTGTGTGTGTGTGTGTGTGTGTGTGTGTGTGTGTGTGTGTGTGTGTGTGTGTGTGTGTGTGTGTGTGTGTGTGTGTGTGTGTGTGTGTGTGTGTGTGTGTGTGTGTGTGTGTGTGTGTGTGTGTGTGTGTGTGTGTGTGTGTGTGTGTGTGTGTGTGTGTGTGTGTGTGTGTGTGTGTGTGTGTGTGTGTGTGTGTGTGTGTGTGTGTGTGTGTGTGTGTGTGTGTGTGTGTGTGTGTGTGTGTGTGTGTGTGTGTGTGTGTGTGTGTGTGTGTGTGTGTGTGTGTGTGTGTGTGTGTGTGTGTGTGTGTGTGTGTGTGTGTGTGTGTGTGTGTGTGTGTGTGTGTGTGTGTGTGTGTGTGTGTGTGTGTGTGTGTGTGTGTGTGTGTGTGTGTGTGTGTGTGTGTGTGTGTGTGTGTGTGTGTGTGTGTGTGTGTGTGTGTGTGTGTGTGTGTGTGTGTGTGTGTGTGTGTGTGTGTGTGTGTGTGTGTGTGTGTGTGTGTGTGTGTGTGTGTGTGTGTGTGTGTGTGTGTGTGTGTGTGTGTGTGTGTGTGTGTGTGTGTGTGTGTGTGTGTGTGTGTGTGTGTGTGTGTGTGTGTGTGTGTGTGTGTGTGTGTGTGTGTGTGTGTGTGTGTGTGTGTGTGTGTGTGTGTGTGTGTGTGTGTGTGTGTGTGTGTGTGTGTGTGTGTGTGTGTGTGTGTGTGTGTGTGTGTGTGTGTGTGTGTGTGTGTGTGTGTGTGTGTGTGTGTGTGTGTGTGTGTGTGTGTGTGTGTGTGTGTGTGTGTGTGTGTGTGTGTGTGTGTGTGTGTGTGTGTGTGTGTGTGTGTGTGTGTGTGTGTGTGTGTGTGTGTGTGTGTGTGTGTGTGTGTGTGTGTGTGTGTGTGTGTGTGTGTGTGTGTGTGTGTGTGTGTGTGTGTGTGTGTGTGTGTGTGTGTGTGTGTGTGTGTGTGTGTGTGTGTGTGTGTGTGTGTGTGTGTGTGTGTGTGTGTGTGTGTGTGTGTGTGTGTGTGTGTGTGTGTGTGTGTGTGTGTGTGTGTGTGTGTGTGTGTGTGTGTGTGTGTGTGTGTGTGTGTGTGTGTGTGTGTGTGTGTGTGTGTGTGTGTGTGTGTGTGTGTGTGTGTGTGTGTGTGTGTGTGTGTGTGTGTGTGTGTGTGTGTGTGTGTGTGTGTGTGTGTGTGTGTGTGTGTGTGTGTGTGTGTGTGTGTGTGTGTGTGTGTGTGTGTGTGTGTGTGTGTGTGTGTGTGTGTGTGTGTGTGTGTGTGTGTGTGTGTGTGTGTGTGTGTGTGTGTGTGTGTGTGTGTGTGTGTGTGTGTGTGTGTGTGTGTGTGTGTGTGTGTGTGTGTGTGTGTGTGTGTGTGTGTGTGTGTGTGTGTGTGTGTGTGTGTGTGTGTGTGTGTGTGTGTGTGTGTGTGTGTGTGTGTGTGTGTGTGTGTGTGTGTGTGTGTGTGTGTGTGTGTGTGTGTGTGTGTGTGTGTGTGTGTGTGTGTGTGTGTGTGTGTGTGTGTGTGTGTGTGTGTGTGTGTGTGTGTGTGTGTGTGTGTGTGTGTGTGTGTGTGTGTGTGTGTGTGTGTGTGTGTGTGTGTGTGTGTGTGTGTGTGTGTGTGTGTGTGTGTGTGTGTGTGTGTGTGTGTGTGTGTGTGTGTGTGTGTGTGTGTGTGTGTGTGTGTGTGTGTGTGTGTCGCTCGCACGTAGCATGACGAAAGAGAGCGCTATGCTCTGTGCGAGCGAGAGAGAACGCAAGGGGCACGAAACAGAGTATGTCCTTTTCTACGTGGGCATCGGCCCCCACTCCTTAAATAAAGGCAAACGCTCGCAAGAAAAACTTTTCTATAAATAAAAGTTTTTCTTCAATATTTTATATCAATGAAATATAAAATATTGAAGAAAAACTTTTAATTTTGAGAATTTTCGCCGTGCATTTAGAAAAGTATTGTTTTACTATTATATTTGGACATTCTTATATACGGCAGCTCCTGAGACAAAGCGTCGCGCTCCTTAGTTACGCGTATCTGGCGACTCGTCGCTAACGCACAAGCGGTGAGTGGGGGGCAATAGGCGTGAGCCACGGATCGGCACGAAAAGGGCAACTATCTCCGAGCACTGGTCTAGATATACTATATTTAGTAATATATAGAAGTCTGTAGTTATTAATTGTGCGATTCGCGTATGCGCAAGAACATACATTTACCTAGAAATTTTGGGGAGTGAAACTACTGTTCTTATTTATACTGTGTGTAGTAGTAATCGTATCAATTATGGATCCGTCAAAGAACGAGATGCAGACCGAGCCAACGTTGATCCAAAATCTGTCAGCAGAGCAGTATTCAAGGTGCGAATCGCCAAAGCGTGGCACCACGCTTTCCACCAGCACCAGCAGTTTTGAGGCGCTGGATCCGCATGATCCGAACCTAAGTCGTTTGGCGAACACGATGTTTGAGAAGACAGGAGAATATCTGCAAGAGGAGCTCATTTCCATCCACGCAGATTATCAATTGTTGGAACGCTTAAACAAAGAAACTATTGCCAAGTACACAGAACTGAAGATTATTTCGTCGAATGTCGTGCAATCATTGGATTCTCTGAATGAGAAGTATCAAAAGTTACAACCGATTCTAGATAATATCAATCAGATTGATGATAGTGTCAGCAAACTGGAGCAAGCTGCGTATAAACTCGCAGCATATTCTAAACGTCTTGAAGCCAAATTTAAGGATCTCGAAAAAGAAAATACAAAAAGCAAATAAAGTTATATAATTGTAAAGATATAAAACGTTGTCTATATGTACTTATGTGTAATAGACAGAGAGAGTATATTATAATGTCAGAACTATTTATCACCAATATAAATAATTGTATAGAGAAAGAGAGAGAGAGAAAGAGAATATAGGAGCTTTTCAACAAGCAAATACAAGTACAGGCACGATGTCACACAATTGGCAATTGAATAGAAAACTTTTAAATTCCCAAAAATATTTCTATGTGATAGCCAATTGTATAATATTGTATTTGTTTTTATACTGAAAAACTGCCTATATAAGCAGTAATGAAAAGCATATCTTTTTATATTATATTTATTAATATATGAAACCATAAATACATTTTACTAAGATTCTATAAAATTGTAGTATTGTGCATTCCTTTGCGTATCACATAATACTTGGGTCATTTACGTCAAAACCGGAATTTAATTTTTAGATAGGTAAAGAGACAAAATTATGACCAGTAAAGAACATTTATTTTTCAACGTAATCTTTATTTACATCACAGCATTTTTGCCATCGATGTACCAGTGTGTTAATACCAGCAGAATACAAGGAGTTGTCTTGACGTCTCAACTACTGTAACACATATCTCTCAGAAAATCAGGGAAAAACTGTAAACAATAGATTTTCATCTGTTTGGTTCCTCGAAGGGACATTTGGCCAGGTCCTTTCAGTCAGAAAATGACCTTAAAATGTGAGTATTACAGTGATTTAGATGTCAGGACAACTCCTATTCTGCCAGTATTAACACATTGATACGTCGATGGCAAAAATGCTGTAATGTAAATGGAGATTATGTTGAAAAATAAATGTTCTTTACTAGTCATAATTTTGTCTCTTTACCTGTCTAAAAATTAAATTCCAGTTTTGACATGAACGACTCAAGTATATAAATTTTATAAATAACTTAATAATTTTATTAAAAATGATGCATTTTATTTCCACAAACTTGATCTTTTCTTTTTTGCAATATGTTGATGCAGTGTGCCTGAATAATTATGATATAATAAGTATAAATACAATTAATATAAATTAAAAATAAATATTCACATTTGAAAAAAGAAATTAGTTATGTTATATATATTTTATATTTTTGTAACTCTTTTATTAAGCGTTATAAAAAAAAATGGCTCAGGACTTTTCGTCTCAGTTTTTGGTAAGGAATAACGCTATGTTCTTAGTGAACGGTCATTGCGGGTCACCCTGTGTATATATATATATATATATATAGACACACACAGAGTGTCCCATGACTCGACGTCCATACATTAAGGGCGTGTTATTGAAATCATTTAATAAACATATGTCTGTAAATGTTTCCTAACAGAACTACAGCCATTGAAAATTGATGTGAATATTTGAAAAAGGAAAGAAGATATTTAATTTAACTTGTTTATTTACAAATGTATTACAAATTCTGTTCAAAATTATCTCCTGCAGATTCAACAGAATTATGGATGTGGCAACGCAAATAAGAAATTCTGGCATGGTGGAGCAAGTTGTTACATTACTTTTATGCAGGACAAGACTGTATTGAATCTTCAGGAGATAATTTTGAACAGAATTTATAATACATTTGTAAATAAACAAATTAAATTAAATATCTTTTTTCTTTCTTTTTTCAAATGTTTACATCAATTTTCAATGGCTGTAGTTCTGTTAGGAAACATTTATAGACATATGTTTATTAAACAATTTCAACTCTAAATGATTTCAATAACAAGCCCTTAATGTATGGAGTCATGGGTACACTCTCTGTATGTGTGTGTGTGTGTGTACCACACACACACACTTGATTTAGCATAATTAATTGTATGATGATATTAATTGTATGATTAATGATAGATAAATGTAGGGTTAATGATTTAATACATAATGTTAGATTTGTTTCTAACATTATTGACAATTTTACTGAAATGATGAATATAATGAGTTTTATACACACACACACACACACACACACATACACGGAAAAAGAAATTAACAAACATAGCATACAAATAAAATATTCAGAATATATAAATGTAAAACTTCAAGATTGCATTGTCTTGTAGCATTAAAATGTCTATGTCACTATGAGTGTAAGAGTTCGATATGCTCAATTATTATGCTCCAAAATGAACTTCTAAAGTATCACAATATATAAACATATTCATATGACCATAATAAAGCTGCATTGTTTCTGTAATTTAATTACTGAAACAGATCAATACAAATGATGTTTAACAGTCTAAGAAATTGCCAGCCATTAATAATTCTAGGGCGATTTCGGGTGCAATGGGAAATTCCGGTATTTCTGTACTGCTATTTGTGTAGCGCACTTTGTAAGTAAAATACATGCAGACTTTTTGCAACACATGAGACCTACAAAAAATATGTATTTGTTTAAACAATTCAATTACACTCATATCAATACAAGAAAACAATATTATTTTATATTATTGAAATATAAAATATAAATAACCTGTATGTTTACTATATTTTGTACACTTACGGAATTTCTCGGAAATTAACTTCATTAGCTTCATTCTCTGCAAATTGTCCAGGACCACTTAACATAGCTTTGATGGTACCGCTTGTTAATGCATGTTCTCTTTTAACGATAAACTCATGTCCATCACTACTGACCAGTTTCACATACATGGCATTTGGGCCCTCACAACCTCCATAAATAGGGCCAATCTCTTGCTAAAAATTTCAAAAGATCAATTATGGTACTCGTATATATGTTTCAATTTCTTTTACGTTAGAGGATTGTATAATATAAACTGAAAACAATATAGATATGAACAGCAGGATAAAGAAAAGGAATCCTATCTAAGCAGCAAAATTTAATTTGGAGAGATAGGTACCACATGCAGGTCTTTAGATGATCTGCCTTCTTCTTCTTCGGTTTTATCGACACTTGCTTCTCCATTGGACTTGATCCAAAGAAATTATTATCAATTAATTAATATTTTAATTTACCATAAGTTTTCAGCTTTCCAGAAAAGGAATGGATAAAATGTCAGCGTATAAAGCAACCCAATATATATACATTTTTATCACAGAAAAGTATCATTATACATCCCAGTTACCACACACAGCAGCATTACAACATGCAAATAAAATTATTTTACATATACCTTTTCAGCCTGCATATTCACATCGGTTGACATGTTTGTTATCGTGTGCAAATATTCTTCTAAAACAAGACAAATATAAATGTGTATGTATATTATAAATATATAAGCAAGTAAATTATATATAAAATAAATATGACTAGTGAAGCATAAAGCCATTGTTAATGAAGTTGCATGGAATACTGAATTATTAGACAATGTGCAATAATTAACAACATCAAACAAGATATTCTGTATAATAAATAGTAAATTCTCATTATTCAAATAGCTTTTAATAGCAATAGATTAAGTTATATGTTAAAACAAATGTTGCAGAATGTTTTACAAAATAATTAAAAAAAAAAAAAAATGTTTTCTATTATTCCGACATTATTTTACACTTGTAAGCATACACAAAACTATTGTCGACTTCCTATTTATCACTAAGTTAAATAAAAATAATTTGCTATTGCATTATCATCGTGGCTATTATACCATACCCTTGTTATTGTAAATACTATCTCATCATACTGCTGGCTAGTTGATTCACAAATATATTTACAAATTATATATTACGAAATTGCAAATAACTTACTACATACCTCACACGCAATAAAGTTTCTTCTTTTATATAGATTTTTTTCTCAGAGGGACGCAATATCACAATAAAGTTTCGGTCGGTAAGAGTAAAGCCCGTATCAGACTACGCATTGAAAATTGAAGATTGAAGATTAAAGATTGGAATTTGACTAATCAGAACAAAAGGGACTAAAATTTCTTTATTCTGATTGGTCAAATTTCAATCTTGCATCTTTATGAAGTAGTCTTTACTGCAAATTCTTCTATCATCTCATGTCAGAATAAACTATTAAGTGATGGCTTCTGCACACAGGTCACGTTTGCCGCGCGGTAAAAGACGACGCGGCAGCCAATCAATTTTTCGCTCTAATGGAAAAATTGTAAGTTGATTGGCTATCGCGTCGCCTTTTGCCGCGCGGTAAGCGTTTCCGCGTCCTGTGTGCAGAAGCCATAACACCAAATGCTCTCTCCTGGGGGTTGATTGTGTATCTTAAAACGATGTGAAAATTACAAAAGTGATAGCGTTTTCGAATGAACGGGTTAATCCAACTAGGATCAATCATACACATTCTATTTTTTAGGGCCAATTTCACAAAGTCCGATTAGATTAACCGACGGTTAAAATTAGCAGGGTGGCCAATGAAAAAAAGAGGTGAAGCAAAACCAAGCATTCATATAATTTCAGTTGGAACCCTGCTAATTTTAACCGTCGGTTAATCTAACTGGACTTGGTGAAATTGGCTCTTAGGGCCACCGCACAAGCTTTTCCGTAAAGGCCCGTCTACATAGGACGCAACACGCCAGACGCAAGCAAATCGACCAATCATAGTCGAATATTCTCGGAATAATCTATGTAGAAGGGCCTTAATGCATTACGGAAAAGCTTGTGCAGTGGCCCCAGTATTGTGAGACGGGCCGGGCTTTCTCGCGCATGCGCGGCCATGATAACCATTAGCAACGACGTATCTATCTGCAGTAATAACAAGGTTATGCTGTGGGCGCGAAAGTTTTATTTTGTTTTGTTATTATATATTTTGTGCTTTAAATTATTTTAACATCCTTCCCTCTTTTAGTTTATCTCTTTCATCACACAGGTAAACATTCCATATATATACTTCATTGATGCTACGTTCGCCGCGCATGCGCGAGAAAACCCAGCCCGTCTCACAACACTGACTACCAGGCACGCGGCTCACCGACGTGCGCCCGGCTAAAGATCGACGTTGATTGGCCAGACTTTACTCAATAATAATAATTTTGCGCTAGCTTGGCTATTAAATATGGCGGATTGGAATGACCATGGATATAATATATCTAGACCGAGCGTTTGCCTTTATTTAAGGAATGGGGGTAAAAAGATGTTTGTAGAAAAAGACATACTCTGTTTCGTGCTCCTTGCGTTCTCTCTTGCTCGTACGTAGCATAGCGTTCTCTTTCGCTATGCTATGTGCGAGCGAGAGGGAACGTAAGGAGCACGGAACAGAGTATGTCCTTTTCTATGTGCACTTTGGCCCCCACTCCTCAACATCCGGTCTAGATATACTATGTATATGGGAATGACCAATCAGCAATTGATAGCCTGGTGTCCTAATGGCCCTCGCACACTGGACGCGATGAGCGATAAGCGATGGGCGATATCCATAGACATATAGAATGGACTGAGCGTTGCGATAGACAAACGCGTGCGCGCTGTAGAGAGAGAGGTACTATATGGGAGGCCTATTTTGTCTCCTTTCCTAGCATCTCATTGGTGATTTTATCCCCCTCCATATAGAAAATCACCAATGAGACGCTAGGAAAAGAGACAAACATAGGCCTCCCATATAGTACCTCTTTTTCTACAGCAAGCGCACGTTTTTCTATCTCACAATGCTCAATCCAGTCTATATATCTATGGCGATATCCAATGAGAGCTCTAAACTTTTCCATTAGAGCGAAAAATTGATTGGCTATCGCGTCGCCTTTTGCCGCGCGACAAGCGGTTGCGCGTCCTGTGTGCAGGAGCCATTAGTGCTTATTGCACAATGATCTAGTTTCCACCGAAGTGTTAATTCGCATCTAGCGCGGCGTAGGACTAAATTTAAGTCGATGGAAACGTTAAATTCGATGCGCACCGAAACAGAATCGGATTGAAAACATCGGTGGAAAGTAGACTAATGTTACATTGGCCAGTCTCTGAGCCGCGGGGATGATAGTGTATCCCTATATAAAATTATTCTATAATTTTGTATATCTCTTTATTTATTAACAAAAATTAAAAATTTTATTAACGCATAACACAGCTTTTCTAATATGTCATTGTCGTACAAAGAATTTTGACCGTATATGGTGTGCTAGAGGATATCTGATAAAGGAACTAATTATTTGTTTAAGTATTGCATATGAAAAAAAATCATGAATTTTTTGAAACTCTCAATTATATATACATATAAACACAACTAAAAAAATATAAATTACTATAACATTCATTTATTACTACATTTTTTCCTTGCTGGAAAGATGTACATTGTATATGTATATCCATTATACATTCATTGCACAACAATTACATTAATGAATAATAAAGGTTTGTTTAGGCGATTTCATAAATTTCTTGCATTTTTCCGCAAAAGCTATCTCTTTCTGAAATAATAAATAATAATTATGATTTTTTTCTCCGTCAATATTGGAAATATTAAAACTCTATAAGACTAATGAAATACTTTCACCTATATCGATTAACACTTCAATCTTAATGTAACTAATTCTGAAGTTATAATTATAATCAAATCAACTAATACTGGCGAGGCTTGGCGTAATATTAAAAAATTAAAATCACAACAATCGCGCAAAGGTTACCTTGACCAACTCCTTATCAGGTATCCTAGGGTATGGACCATATGGATCTCTTCTACCTTTATCATAATCTGTAGCGATCATTACATTTAGATGTATAAACAGCAACATAAATGTAATACCACCAAAATTATGCAAAGCCATTATTGAATAGACAATAAATCACAAGATAACCAAATTATTTTGTTCGATCGAGACAAGAGAATAAGCCATAGACATAGTATATATAGACCGAGCGTTTGCCTTTGCGGCTGCGGTCCGAAATACGCTCACAGCGCTCATAGTACTGAAAATCTATAGTTTAGCGCTTAATACATAGCGTACTCTTTCGCTATGCTACATGCGAGTGAGAGAGAACGCAAGGAGCACGGAACAGAGTGGACGCGTTCCACTTAACGACCGAAATGCTCGCGAGCATCATCTGTCTTTGTTTAACTTTCGGTGAACAACAAAGATGAAATGATACCGTGAGCGTTGCGGTCATTAAGTGGAACGGACCCAGTATGTCCTTTTCTACGTACACCTTGGCCCTCACTCCTCAACACTCGATCTACATATACTATGTCTATGGAATAAGCTCTTCTCTTACATCAAGATACAGTGTTACCAATACGACTATAGTTCGCTTATACAATTCCTAAACGGTAAAGATATACATACATTACGAATTTCAATAATTCGTCAACGCTCAAATTCATATTGCAATAGCGTTTTCATTTTTATGTTGACAAAAACTAATATCATCTCATTGATATTTTTATTATTCCAATATCGAAAAATAATAGAAAAAAAAAAAAAAAAAAAATTATGTCGCCGGCCACTGGTGGCGATAGTAGGATACATTGTCTGCTTCAACTTCATAATTCAGAATCTGCGTTCCACTTATTTGTATTTGAGAGTGAAATATTTTATTATATTTAATTACATTCATTAGGGTAATGGCCCTCGCACATTGGCCGTGATGAGCGATGAATGATGAGCGATATCCAATGAGAGCTTTATTTTTTCGGAAAACCAGAGCTCTCATTGGATATCGCCCATCGCTGATCGCTCATCGCGTCCAGTGTGCGAGAGCCATAAGGTGAAGTAAGCCGGCCAAGATCAGAGTCCCTAAAGATACAGTCTGGCCACGGTGCGTGTTCCTTTTTATTGGTCAAAACAAAGTTTGAAAAAACATGGCGGAACCAATAGAAATTGTTATGGGAAGTATAATAATTTAAAAAGAAATTAAATAAGAAAATTACAAACAATTTTTATTTATTTAAATAAAAAAATTACGAACATCTTGTACTTTTTATAAATTTTTAAATTAAAGAATAAAGAAAAATTAACTTGTATTTAACAATAATATAACAATACGAGATGCTTTATCTTGTCTAGTGCATCATTACAATTGCAAGAATATCACAAGTTAGAGTAAAATAGTAATAGACTACACAGCACGTCAAAATTTTTATTATTAAGTTTGTCTCGATGTAGGTCAAATTTTTTACTCCATACTTTTATATCCATACTGTTATTGTAGAATATGTACTTGCAAATGTAAGATGTGACACTTGCAACAAACACAAAGTTTTCTAATAAAAACTTTTCTATTTTCCAATGTGTAGATGTGAATAAAAAATTTCTTTCTTCATAAAAAAACTTTACAGTTCTAAAGCCATTCATATGGGTAAATAAGGCTCGCGAGCATCATCTGTCTTTGTTTAACTTTCGGTGAACAACAAAGATGAAATGATACCGTGAGCGTTGCGGTCATTAAGTGGAACGGACCCAGTATGTCCTTTTCTACGTACACCTTGGCCCTCACTCCTCAACACTCGATCTACATATACTATGTCTATGGAATAAGCTCTTCTCTTACATCAAGATACAGTGTTACCAATACGACTATAGTTCGCTTATACAATTCCTAAACGGTAAAGATATACATACATTACGAATTTCAATAATTCGTCAACGCTCAAATTCATATTGCAATAGCGTTTTCATTTTTATGTTGACAAAAACTAATATCATCTCATTGATATTTTTATTATTCCAATATCGAAAAATAATAGAAAAAAAAAAAAAAAAATTATGTCGCCGGCCACTGGTGGCGATAGTAGGATACATTGTCTGCTTCAACTTCATAATTCAGAATCTGCGTTCCACTTATTTGTATTTGAGAGTGAAATATTTTATTATATTTAATTACATTCATTAGGGTAATGGCCCTCGCACATTGGCCGTGATGAGCGATGAATGATGAGCGATATCCAATGAGAGCTTTATTTTTTCGGAAAACCAGAGCTCTCATTGGATATCGCCCATCGCTGATCGCTCATCGCGTCCAGTGTGCGAGAGCCATAAGGTGAAGTAAGCCGGCCAAGATCAGAGTCCCTAAAGATACAGTCTGGCCACGGTGCGTGTTCCTTTTTATTGGTCAAAACAAAGTTTGAAAAAACATGGCGGAACCAATAGAAATTGTTATGGGAAGTATAATAATTTAAAAAGAAATTAAATAAGAAAATTACAAACAATTTTTATTTATTTAAATAAAAAAATTACGAACATCTTGTACTTTTATTGGCAGAGACGATGCAATGACGTCATTAATCGCTCTCAAGTTCCGACTGACAACTTGTCGTTCGGACGTGTTTCGCCGTGCTGCGTATGTCCTTTGTTTGGACCTATTTTTGGACTTAATCCTCTCCAGAGAGGATTTTTGCTTATATTCTCTCAAATCCAATTATTCACTTAACCGTTCCCACCTGGCCGAGTGGTGGGTTATTATCTAACTAGTGCCAATCAAACCAAAGAAGAAGAAGAATTAATCGCTCTCAGGGTGCAAACCCATGGCAGCGGAAAAGCGTAACGCGGAACAAAAGCGGACCAATCGTGAGCGTAGCGAAAACTGCAGAACGCTCGCGATTGGTCATGCTCTCGTTCCGCGTTACGCTATTCCGCTGCATGAGTTCGCACCCTAAGAGCCATTAAAGGCTGTGTTCCGCGTCCCCACCCGGGTGCACCCGATATTATAGTATACGTGACATGTACTATAATATCGGGTGCACCTGGGTGGGGATTCGGAACATAGCAAAACCTGCTACATTCGAAAATGCTATTAAGACGATCTTGGATATAAGAACGGACTATGAATATCGGCTTGAGACATTGTCCTAGTTTACACCGATATATTTAATACGTACTAAATATTATACTGTCCAATTACAGCCGTTCTATTCTTTAAAAGAATAACTATGATTGGCCAATACAGTATTCAGTACGTATTAAAGTATATCGTTGCAAACTAGGTTATTGCGTTCTTTTTCTAATTTTGGCGCAACATTTGTTCAATACGCGCAGTATTTCTTACGTCTATGGTGTGAATACGCCATTAAGCCCGTATCAGATTACGCATTGAAAATTGAAGATTAAAGATTGGAATTTGACTAATCAGAAGAAAAGGAACTAAAATTTCTTTGTCCTGATTGCTCAAATTTCAATCTTGAATCTTGAATCTCAATCTTCAATGCGTAGTCTGATACGTGCCTTAAGCCCGTGTCACACTACGCATTGCGGACTCGGATCGGATTTGGAGTACGGACTGCGAATCGTCAACAATCAACTATAACCTATAACCACGGTTAAGCCCGTGTCACACTATGCATTGCGGATTCGAATCGGATTTGGAGTACGGACTGCAAATCGTCATTCATCCAATCAAAGCGAAATAGCCAAGGATCTGATTGGATTATTGACGATTCGCAGTCCGTAATCCAAATCCGATCTGCGTCCGCAATGCGTAGTGTGACACGGGCTTTACACCAAGCGACAGCAAAGCAAAGTTCGCGCCGATGCCGACAGGTGGCGACAAAGGTACGCAGCGCGAAACGGTAAGAACGGACTGGCAGTCGATCGTTGGCCGTCATCGCGCGAGGACGGTGAGATTGTCCTTGGCTCGACTGTCAGGTTATCCGTCGCACGCGATGCAATTGGTTGACGTTTCTTCTGTAAGCCCCGCCTATTAAGTGGCTGTTCGAAAGTGTGTAGTTGTGTTTCTTTACGCTGGAACGACGGGCGCGCTGCTCTCTCGAATCGCTCGATGCAATTGTAGGAAAAATTTGAAATGAGTCGTGTCGGCGTGCTAATATGCAACGGTTGAGAGATAGTCGAGTGCATGGAAAATCGCGAGCGCGTTCGAGGGTGGTACATCGTTAACATCGCTTACGGGGTATTTCGCTGCCACGCTGCGACATTGTCCGATCCGGGGGTGGGGGGGGGT